AGTCGGATCGTTTGATTGGCTGATAATAACGAGTCGGATCGTTTGATCAGCTGATAATAACGAGTCGGATCGTTAGTTGTTGTTGTTGTTGTTTTTTATGACAATAACAGATGTAACAAAAGTGCTTGTGTTTGGAAGGAACTTTGTTGTGTTCGAGGTCATCAGGAAAGACGAGTTTTCTCCCTTGAAGAACGCAGACGGAGCAGCTTTGGACACTCCGACCACGGTCAGAACCTCTCTGATGGATCAGCACCGGCGCTGGGTTTGTGCTGCCGGAGCCTCACTGCTGGACGGAGACGGAAACGAGATCGGAGCTCGAATCAGGTGAGTCCAATATGAATCAGAAAGAAACTGATTTGTTTTCTGTAAAGTTTAAAATCTGATTTGACGACGAAGAGTAAATTCTGAGGGATTTTTCAAACAATTTGTCTTCATGAAACTCGACCTTAACTGATTCTGAACTTTGTAATGCTTAGACTCCAGTTTAGTTTTATTAAAGATGTTCTGTGGATGAAAGTAAAACATGAGTTAACTCTGAGGAGCTGCTGCTGATCAGGACTTTTTTTTTTTTTTGGTTCTAATGTGTGAATATTTTCCTCCTCAGCGAATCAACAGATCCTGTAAAATGTGAGATTTCTCCTCTGGTGTCGTACTTTGGAGAGGTGAGACACATTTTTAATTGATTAATTTAAATATTCTGTGATTAAACTTGTGTTTGTTTTCAGGGCCTGGAGCTCCTGAAGGGGACAAAACTCCAAACTCCTTTGATTCTGGATGAAAAAACAACTAAAGTTCTTCTGGGTCAGAGAGGTTCTGGACAAATCTGAACAGGAAGTGGAGACACAAGGACACACCTGGAGACATGAGGACAGTTTTGTCTAATCTGACATCAGTTTTGTTATATTTGTGAGGACTGATGGGAGTTTTTTTTATTTTTTTTTTTAATTAAACAATCATGAAAATGTTCTGGAATCAATAAAGTTTTTACTCATTTTCAGTAAAAGTTGTGGCTTTAATTTCTAACTCTGTGGGGAAACTCATGTTTTAAAAGAAACATTTTGGAGAAAAATTTATCAGACCAGAATTTTATTTATTATTCTATAAAAGACTATTTAAATTCTTGTTTCTGACTTATAACGAGCTCCTCGCTGTTGAAATGTACAGTACAGTAAAAGTACAGGACAGTAAAAGTACAGGACAGTACATGTACAGTACAGTAAAAGTACAGTAAAGGTTTGAGTGACATGAAGAATTAGACCAACAGTAAGATTTTAAAAAGGAAAAATATAATCTGAATATTTGTGGCATGATACTCTTGTCTTTAACCATCATCCTTTTCAGCGTCATAAACTATTATTTTACTTATCTCCCTTTGTATTGGTGGTTAATGTATAACTTTTTCCTAAATTTGTAATATTCACTTAAAGGTAAATTGAATTCAGTTTAATCTGTTTTAGCCAGATAACCTCATTAAGTGAAAATTATATATTTGTCCATCCATCCATTTTCTTTCACTTATTCGGGGTCGGGTCGCGGGGGTAGCAGCCTAAGTAGGGAGGCCCAGACTTCCCTCTCCCCAGCCACTTGGACCAGCTCCTCCAGGGGAATCCCGAAGCGTTCCCAGGCCAGCCGAGAAACAGTCCCTCCAGCGTGTCCTGGGTCTTCCCCTGGGTCTCCTCCCGGTGGTGTTGTATTAACAATGTTGTAATACGAAACATTACAGGTGGGACGTGTCCGGAACACCTCACCAGGGAGGCGTCCAGGAGGCATCCTAACCAGATGCCCAAGCCACCTCAACTGGCTCCTCTCAACATGGAGAAGCAGCGGCTCTACTCTGAGTCCCTCCCGGATGATCGAGCTTCTCACCCTGTCTCTAAGGGAGAGCCCAGACACCCTGCAGAGAAAACTCATTTCAGCTGCCTGTATCCAAAATCTCGTTCTTTCGGTCACAACCCAAAGCTCATGACCATAGATGAGGGCAGGACCTCTTCCCCGACCCAGAGAGGACACTATACCCTTTTCCAGCTCAAGACCATGGCCTCGGATTTGGAGGAACTGATCCTCCTCCCAGCCGTGTCACACTCTGCTGCGAACTGCTCCAGTGAAAGTTGTAGATCACGACTTGATGAAGCCAATAGGTCCACATCATCTGCAAAAAGCAGAGACTACCAAAATGCCAAGAAAACAGATCCCCTCAACACCTTGGCTGTACCTAGAAATTCTGTCTACAGAAGTTATGAACAGAATTGGTGACAAAGGACAACCTTGGCGGAGTCCAACTCTCACTGGGAACGAGCCCGACTTACTGCCGGCAATGCGGACCAAGCTCTGACACTGGTCGTACAGGGACCTAACAGCCCGTATCAAAGGACCTGGTACCTCATACTCCTGGAGTACCCCACAGAGGGTTCCCTAAGGGATGCGGTCGAACGCCTTCTCCAAGTCCACAAAGCACATGTAGACCGGTTGGACAAACTCCCACGCACCCTCCAGGACCCTGCTGAGAGTGTAGAGCTGGTCCAGTGTTCCATAACCAGGACAAAAGCCACACTGCTCCTCCTGAATCCGAGGTTCGACTATCCGACGGACCCTCCTCCAGAACCCCTGAATAGACCTTACAGCTTAAGAGCGTGATCCCCCTGTAGTTGGAACACACTCTACGGTCCTCCTTTTTGAACAGGGGGACCACCACCCTGGTCTGTTATTTTTGTCCTCACTAAATAAATTCATTTAAAAGATAATTCAAATGTTGGATTTTATACCTGGATTATTGAGCATGGACTTTGTTCTAATTCAAATGAGTTTTATGCAGCTTAACCTATTTTAGTCGAACCATCCTACAAAATAAAAATGTATCATAATTTTACTGTTATAACTTAATTGTTTTAGCCAGGTTAATTTTAAGCCTGGTTTACTTTTGAGTTAGCTGACCTCTTGCACAGGAGGGACCAGCTTTGGATAACAGTAAGACAGACTGGTTTAGACACCCATTGGTTGCAGTTTCGTCAGTTATGGAGTCACTCTACGGCTTCCATTAAAGCTGCAAAATGTAATTACTATTTCAGACCACCAAAAATCTAAATGATCCTAAGAGCTTCTGGAAAACTATAATGTAAATCTCTTGATGGCAGCACTCACTCGTCTATGAATGTTTCTGTTTAGTGCCCTGAGACACCTTCTGTTGTGACTTGGCACTCTATGAATAACTAAATTAAATTAAATCTGACCTGCCACCACAGTTATTTGTCGACTCTGCTCCTGTGTCAGATAAGCATGAGATGCTAAACTGTTTCAACAAACATGTTGTAGCCTCCAGTTCCTTGTTTAATACAGTTTCTAAAGGTAAAGCACCTACTCCACCAACAAGTAAACCATACATTCTCTTTTCACCGTTCTCTGTCAGTGACGTTACCAAACTGTTAAAAGATCTGGATACTAGAAAATCTGCAGGTCCTGATGACCTCTCTCCTTACTTCTTAAGTCTAGCTGCACAAATTATAGCAGAACCGGTGTCTTACATTTTCAATCCGTCTATACAACATAATACTGTAGTGAATGTGGGGGTCAGCTTCACTACTAATTAATTATTATTAAAGCTAGTTCAAGCACAAAGAATATTAATTATTTAAATACAACGGATTCTTTCTTTTTCGAGTTAAATTAATGCCATGTGACCGAGCTAACTGTGAGGATTGTTTAATTAGTGACATGAGACGCCATTTTTCTTTGACCCATCAGAATAAATGCGGTCATTTATTTAACAGAATCAAAATTTAACATCAAGACATGTACACATTGATTTGCTGATCTGTTTCTGATTAATAAAAACTTGGCACGCTTTACTAACAAGACAACAGAACATTACTGAAGGCATCTAGATTGATTCACTGGCGAAGAGATTTATAAGAGGAGAGATGTAGAGGTTTAAAGAGGAGATGGATGGATGAAGATGTATGTTGTTGACCAGAATAAGCACACTTCTTCCAACACCAGCTCAACCCTCCGGTACACTTAGTGCGCAACACTCGTGACGTCTCTTTACCTTTGCAGATGAGGATCAGCTCCGGTATACTGTAGATGTCCATACGCACGCTACCTTTCCAGCGTCTCCGGTTAAAGCAGCTGGGCATCGTCAAAAGTCGTGACGATTTATTCCGTCCAACAGACAAGCTTCCTTTGAAGTTGTAGGGCATTACGCCCGGGTGAGTTCACAGCGAGGCGCTGTAACTCCAGCTGGGATGGACGGACCCTCGTCTCACGGTAAATCCATCAGCTATTGATTGAATCTGAAAGTTCCTTAGGAACTCTCAGGAAGACTCCATAGTCCCAAGACAGACTCAGGAAAACTCCGGTCAAAGACTGAAGAAGACTGAAGAAGACTGAAGACTCGAGAAGACTCCAAGAAGACTAACTAGTTCCAGGAAGTGTTGACTTTTAAAAGAGTCCTCACTTCCGGTCACTTAGTATTTCCTGATTGGTTGAAACAACCAACAGGGGGGTGTTCTAGTGATGTCAGAGGGTTATTAAAAGTCAAGAGAGGATGCAGGAATGTTTAGGAACGATTAATACAGACAGAGAAATGTTTTGAAGAAGTGAGAGGAAGCAGGTGCCAGTTGCTTCTTATTTACCGTCTGCTAGGTTTAAAACCAAGACACTTCGTTCTAATAACTTGTCTCTGACTGTCTCTGACTTTTGACCGACATCACTACTTCTCATTCAGACAGAAGATCAAAATGCATAATTACTTTATAAATAGACATTTAACTTGATTTTTAATTTCTAATGAGGTTTAAAAATCATTAATACTGTTTCACAGTTGATTTAAAATGAGTGGTTCACTTCAACATTTAGAAATGGTATGAACTAAACACACTTGGATTATCAAAAAGAAGAGTGTTCTTTCAATTGATTAATTCAGGATACAATTAGAAAGTCTCTGGATGAGCTAATTTTGTATTTCTGGATTCAAATCAATGAAATAACAGTTCCTGTCCCATGAAGGTCTTCAGAGACAGGTTGTGGTCGGAGGCCTAGTTCACTACAATACTGTCCCAGATGCTGGGAAAACCGCTTTTGTGCTGCCATTATTGAAGGAAGGAGACCCCACTATTTTAACAATTATCTCCAAACTCTGTATTTTAGCTAAGATTTTAGGAAAACTGATAAATACTCAAGTCAAGAAGTATTTGTACTCTTTTAATATTTTATCTTCTCTCCAATCTGGCTTCAGGAAATAACATAGCACAATGACTGCTTTGTTTAATAATGTTGTTGAAGCTTTGGACGCTGTGCTGCATTTTACTTAGACTTGTCCAAAGCCTTTGATACTGTAGATCAATATCTGAGAGCTTATGCCATAAGCTCTCAGATATTGGTTTCTCAGATCACACTGTTGGCTGGTCCTCAAACGATCTTCCAGGTCAGAGGCAATGTGTTCGACATAACGATACTTCATCTAGCTACCTAACGGTCACTAATGGTATGCCACAAGGCTCAGTTTTAGGACCCACTCTGTTTCCAATTTATATAAGTAATGTAGGTCAAAACATTCATGCATGTTTATGCCGATGACCCTGTTGTTTATTGCCGAGCTAACACAGTTTCCAAGGTTTTCCAGCTTCTACAGTCTGCATTTGACATCATTCAGTCGACTTATTCCATCTCAAGCTGGTGTTAATGCTGACAAAACCAACGGGATGTTGTTTTCCAACAGAAAGCTGGTGCCAGCATCTTCCTCCTGTCTCATCCATGCATGGTGTTCCTATTGAGTTTGTGGTGGATTCTTACAAATACTGTACTAGGGAATTTTGGTTGATGTACATCTCTCTTTTAAACCACATCAAAAACTTGATAATGAAACAGAAATTAAAATTGTGTTTCTTTTAAAGAAATAGATAATGCTTAACTCTGAATGCCAGAAAATGCCTTGTATCTGCTAATTTTGCTACGTTCCTACCAGCTATTGACTATGGTGACATTATGTACATGAATGCCCCTGCTAGCTCCTTGCAGATGTTGGATGTTGTCCACCATGGCACGCTAAGATTCATAACTGGTTGTAACTACTGTACCCATCACTACACTCTGTACTCCTTGATCAGCTGGTCATCATCATCTACACGTAGGCTCTCACACTGGTTCATCTTCATCTATAAATCCCTCCTTGGTCTGCTGCCTTCTTATATCTCCTTCACATGTCACGCCGTCAGTGTAGTTACAGCGTGCGCTCTCAGGACATCATTACCTGCAGCGTTCCCTCAGTGCAGACTGAACTTGACAAAAAGGTCTTTTCCTACTCAGCTCCTGCACCTGGAACATCTTGCAACAGGAACTGAAGTTGTCCATCTTGATTTCTTTAGGGGATTTTAAACATTTGATAAGGTCTAGAAACTTCAAAGTAAATATGTTCTTGTTTTTAGTATTTCACCTTGTTTTATATGGCTCTTTGATTTACTGTTTTATAACACTACTTTTATTTTAACTGCATTTAACTGTAGTTTATTGTTCAATTCAATTCAGTTTATTTATATAGCGCGAAATCTCAACAAAGTTGTCTCAGGGCACTTTACAGGAACATTCACATACATAAAAGCCAGTTAGTAAAGTTCTCTAAAGTTATCGAATCTTGGCTTCGTTGCAGTCTCCCATCCTGAGCAAGCACAGTGGCAACAGTGGAAAGAAAAACTCCCTTTTAAAAGGAAGAAACCTCCAGCAGAACCAGGCTCAGGACAAGCGGCCATCTGCTTTGACCGGCTGGTTGAGAGGACAGGAAGGAGAGACAGATGAACACAGAATGGTAGGTCCAGGTGTATCTGAAAGACAAAAAAAAACACATGTTAAGGATAGAAAAAATAATTACAAATACAAAATAGGTTGAGCAGAGTCAGTAAAGACAGTAGTAGAGTGAAGAAATGTGGTCAGTTTGTCCTCCAGCAGTCTAAGCCTATAGCAGCAGAACTAAGGGACAGCTCAGGAAACCCAAGCCGACCCTAACTATAGGATTTATCAAAAAGGAAAGTCTTAAGCCTAGTTTTAAAACTGGATAATGTGTCAGCCTCATGGACAGAGATTGGAAGTTGGTTCCACAAGAGAGGAGCCTGAGAACTGAAAGATCTGCCTCCCATTCTGTTTTTGTAAATTCTAGGAACCACAAGTAAACCTGCAGCCTGAGAGTGAAGTGCTCTGTTAGGAAAATATGGAACAATAAGATCTGTAATATAAGATGGAGCTAGGTTGTTGAGAGCTTTGTAGGTTAGAAGTAAGATCTTGAATTCTATTCTGGATTTGACAGGGAGCCAATGGAGAGAAACTAAAACTGGCGAAATATGATCTCTCCAGTAACTCCAGTTAAGACTCTGGCAGCAGCATTTTGGATCAGCCGAAGACGTTTTAAAGAAATATTTGGACACCCAGATAATAAACCATTGCAATAGTCCAGTCTAGACGTGACAAATGCATGGACCAGTTTTTCTGCATCATCTTTAGATCAGATGTTTCTAATGTTAGTGATATTACGCAGGTGGAAGAAGGAGGTTCTAGTAACGTTTTTAATGTGGGGGATAAAAGACATGTCCTGATCAAAAATAACACCAAGATTTTTAACATTAGAGCTGGAGGACAGATTAATGCATCTAAGGAGGGAGAAAGACTGAAAAATTCATTCCTAAGGTGCTCAGGTCCAAAAACCAAAACCTCAGTCTGGTCTGTTCACCAGGAGAAAATTAAGGGTCATCCAGGTTTTTATGTCTTTAAGACATGCTTGTAGTCTAAGTAGCTGATTGGATTCATTGGGTTTAATGGACAAATATAATTGTGTGTCATCAGCATAACAATGGAAATTTATCACATGCTGTTTAATGTGGGATAAACAAAGTATATTGTCTGTATCCTGATGCATGCTCAAAAATCCACTTATGAACCTCTGAAAAGAGATTCAGGAAGTGGTTACAAGAAGAAATTGATAGATTGCCTGAAAATTTTGGAGCAGGACAAGGCTATTGACCGTTTTCTGTACCACAGACTGTACCCAGGAGAGGCCACACCTAGTCTGTATGGTTTACCTAAAATCCACAAACAAGGTGTACCTTTAAGACCAATTGTTAGCATGATTAACTCTGTCACTTACAATGTTTCCAAATATCTGGCGTCTGTACTCATCCCTTTAGTTGGCAGCTCAGAACACCACATACAGAACACCATGGACTTTGTGGATAAGGTGAGGGATGTCATCATGGAGACTGATGAAACAATGGTCTCTTTTGATGTCACATCACTCTTTACGTGCATTCCTGTTGATGATGCAGTAGAGGTGGTCAGTTTAAGATTAAAATCAGACACCACTCTGAGCAGCAGGACCACGCTTTCCACAGAACAACTGTGTCAACTCTTGAAACGGTGCCTGCAGTCAACCTACTTCACATATGGGGAGCAATATTATAGGCAGAAACATGGGTGTGCTATGGGGTCTCCAGTTTCTCCTATTGTTGCCAACCTGTACATGGAGGAGGTAGAAAAGAGAGCCTTGACGTCCTTTTCAGGGACACCACCAAGTCATTGGTTCAGGTATGTTGACGACACCTGGGTTAAAATTAAATCTCAGGAAGTCCAACATTTTACTGACCACATCAACTCTGTGGATAAATACATCAAGTTCATACGAGAAGATGTAAAAAATGGCAGGTTGGCTTTCTTGGACTGTGAGGTCTCAGTCTCTGATAGAGGACATTTGCAAACTGAGGTGTACCACAAACCCACACACACAGACCAGTATTTGCAGTTTGACTCCCATCACCCTTTGGAGCACAAGTTAGGAGTCATCAGGACTCTGTACCACAGAGCAGACAGCGTCCCCACTAGCTCAGGAGCCAGGCAGAAGGAGAAATCCCACACAAGACAGGCTCTAGAGCAATGTGGATATCCTAACTGGGCCTTCCTGAAAGCAGAGAAGAAACCCAAACAGGACTCCAGTCAGCCATCAGGTGAAAAGGAGGAACCCAGACCCAGACCAGTGGTCATTCCGTATGTTGAGGGAGTATCAGAGAAACTGAGACGTTTATTTTCTAAACATAACGTCCCAGTGGCTTTTAAACCCCAACATACATTAAAGACTGGTTCATCCCAAAGATCCAGTCCCCCGGCACAAACAGAGTAATGTTGTGTATGCTGTTCAGTGTCAGGAGGGTGATCAGTCTTACATCGGGGAAACTAAACAGCCACTGGCCAAAAGGATGGACCAGCACAGAAGATCAACATCATCAGGCCAGACTCTGTGGTCTACACTCATCTCCAGGCCAGCGGTCACTCTTTCAGGGATGAAGATGTTCACATCCTGGATAGAGAGGAACGATGGTTTGAGAGAGGAGTAAAGGAGGCCATCTTTGTGAAAAGAAATCGTCCATCATTAAACAGGGTGGAGCCTCCAGGTTCAACTGTCCCCCTCTTACAATGCTGTGATTGCTAGTATCACTCAGCCCTCTGTGAACAGTAAACAGCCATCAGGTGCTAATGATCCATTGTTAGGCTGATGGTCCTTCTTGAGCATGTGATCAGCTGGTTCTGGTTGTCAGCAGCAACACTGGTTGATCCACTCTGAGACGGTGCTATTTAAGAGACTGAGTTGAATACAGCACCTCAGACTGAGGAAGTCTCTCGGATGAGAGATGAAACGTTTCTACATTTTTTTGTTGTTTTGCTTTGTTTGTTTTTTTGAATGTCCAGAGGACCAGATTTAACTTTTTTAGAATTTGCTTCACTGTTCTTTTCTTCAATTGCACTTGATCTAAAGGCTGTCAGCCCTGAGTAAGATGGTGCCCGCGGTTACACGTAAGAGACAGTCCGCCCTCCCCTGTCCTGCGTCACGTGACAGCAGCGGACCAATCATCGGTGTTTTTGTTAATGGCTGACTATCGGAACGAAGCTTGTTCAGCGGAATGCTAATAGCTCCAGCAGCAAATGAAGCTGTTTAAACCCAAACATTGAATATTTTATTTCCTGTCAGTTGACGACGCATTTCGTCCGTGTTTGAATTGTTGTATTTAGTCGATAACAATGGATTTATTTGAACATATAGCCTCTGAGATGAGGCGGAAATAATGAAATAATTTGTTTTGCTAACAACATTCAAAGTCCAGGTTCGGTGCCGACTCCCGGTCCATCTGAAGGTTCCGATGGAGGCTCTAACATGCTAGGACCATGTTCAAGAATGTGTTTGGTTCGGGTTTTCTGGTGAGAACGGCTCATGTGGTTTTGACTTGGGTCGTAACGCTGATCCTCTTCCTTCATGATACAGGTGGGTTCAACCGAACCGACAGGTCGGTGTCAGTGGTTTGGGTCATCATGTGGGTTCTGTTCTGCTCTGACAGAGCTGAGGAAGCAGGAGGAAACGGGTCAGCTGGTCCAGCCGGTTCTGTTCGTGCTGCTGGTTCTACTGTCAGTTCTTCTTTACTTTGCTGTGTCCCTGATGGACCCGGGATTCATCCTGACTGATGACAGAGACTTACAGGTGAGCCAGAACCAGGAACACGGTTTTTAAAAGGAGTCATGTCGGAACCCTCAGGGCTGTGTGTTGAGCCCTCTCCTGTTCACTGTGAGCTGACTGTGCAGCAGCTACCCATCCAGGCTGCCGTACTGTAAAGTTTGCAGATGATGGTGGTGGGATGCATCACAAACAATGAGTCCAGATACAGGCAGGAGGTGGAACACCTGGAGAGCTGGTGCAGGAAGAACAACCTTCACATGAATGTGAAGAAGACGAAGGAGATGGTCGTGGACTTCAGAAGGAACAAATATGTATCACCCCCAGGAGGATCTGCGGTGGAAGTGTTCTCCAGCTACAAGTACTTGGGTGTACACCTGAATGACAACCTCAGCTGGAGCAACAACACCACCAGCCTGATGAAGAAAGATCATC